CTCAGCCGCCTGTACCCCAGCAAGGCTTCCTGAGCCGCCGCCTGAAGAGCTCCATCAAGCGCACCAAGAGCCAGCCCAAGCTCGACCGCACCAGCAGCTTCCGGCAGATCCTGCCCCGCTTCCGCAGCGCCGACCACGACAGGTGGGGACAGCGCGGGGACACCCTGGGGACACCGCAGGGACACCCCGGGGACAGCGTGGGGACACCCAGGGACAGCGTGGGAAACTGCGGGGACACCCAGGGACACTGCAGAGACACCCTAGGGACACCTCGGGACGCTGCGGGGCAGCCTGGGACACCCCAGGGACACCGTGGGGACACCACGGGGACACCACAGGGTCACCCTGGGACACCCCAGGACACTGCAGGGACACCATGGGGACACCGCAGGGACACCTCGGGACACTGTGGGGCAGCCTGGGACACCCCAGGGACACCCTGGGGATACCCCAGGACACTGTGGGACACCTTGGGGACACCCTGGGGACACCCTGGGGAAACCCTGGGGACACCCTGGGACACCCTTGGGACACCACAGGGACACCCTGGGGACACCCCAGGACACCACAGGGACACCCTGGGCCACCGTGGGGACACCCCAGGGACACCCTGGGACACCCCAAGACACCGCAGGGACACCCTGGGGACACTGCAGGGACATTCTGAGACACCCCAGGAGACTGCGGGGCACCCTGGGACACCCCGGGGACACCCTGGGGACACCGAGGGACATCCTGGGGACACCACAGGGACACCTCAGGGAAACCCTGGGGACACCCTGGGACACTGCAGGGACACCCTCTGAACACCACAGGGACACCTCAGGACACCCTGGGGACACCTTGGGGACAGCCCCAGGGGTGGCATGGGGGCGCCCATGATGATCTGCATGGTGGGGAGTTGGGGGGTGACATGGGGACAGTCCAGGCCTCTGGGTGTCACCAAGATGGGGATGGGGACAGTCCTGCTGCCCAGGTGACACCAGAGTGGAGGTGGGGATGGTCCTGGCCAGGTGACACAAGGTGGACGTGGGGACGGTCTTGCTGCCCAGGTGACACTGGGTCAGGCCTGGGGACAGTCCTGGTCCCTGGGTGTCCCGCTCCCCCATGTCCCCAGGCTGGGCACAGGGACGTCCCCGCTCCCTGAATGTCCCCAGGCTCCATGTGGGGCAGGTCCCCATTGTCCCCAGTGTCCCCAGTATCCCTGTATGGGGCATGTCCCCAATGTCCCCGATGTCCCCACGTGAAACAGGTCCCCAGTGTCCCCACTGTCCCCATAGTGGGCAGGCCCTCAGTGTCCCCAATGTCACTGTATGGGGCAGGTCCCCAATGTCCCTCTGTCCCTCCTGTCCCCACATGGGGCAGGTCCCCCCTGTCCCCAGTGTCCCTGTATGGGGCAGGTCCCCAATGTCCCTCTGTCCCTCCTGTCCCCACATGGGGCAGGTCCCCCCTGTCCCCAGTGTCCCTGTATGGGGCAGGTCCCCCATGTCCTTGTCCCCACATGGGGCAGGTCCCCAATATCCCCACTGTCCCCATACAGGGCAGGTCCCCAATGTCCCCCCTGTCCCTCCTGTCCCCACATGGGGCAAGTCCCCAGTGTCCCCAGTGTCACCATCCAGGGCAGGTCCCCAGTGTCCCCACACAGGGCAGGTCCCCAGTGTCCCCACTGTCACTGTACAGGGCAGGTCCCCAATGTCCCCCCTGTCCCTCCTGTCCCCCCTTGGGGCAGGTCCCCAGTGTCCCCAGTGTCCCCAAACAGGGCAGGTCCCCAGTGTCCCCCGTGTCCCCACTGTCACTGTACAGGACAGGTCCCCAATGTCCCCCCTGTCCCCAGTGTCCCTGTATGGGGCAGGGGGACACGTTGGGGACCGGGTGGCCGGGCAGGTGGCGGGCGGTGCCAGCACCGTTTGGAGCCGGAGCCGGTGGGTGGGAGCCGGGTGCAGGATCCGGCCTGGCACCCAGCCCGATGTCACCGTCACCGTCACCGTCACCGCGGATGGGGTACGGTCCCCTGTCCCCT